GGCGGAGTCCACCGCGCTTTTACGTTCCAGGGACAAGCGACGGGTTGATCCTAAGGCTGAGTTTCTTTGGGAATCATGCTTGAAGGAATGCGAGAAGGGCTGGGCTGCTCCTCCGGCGTCGCTGGCCGCGATGGACCGCGAGTACGGCGCCGGGCGCTGGGCGGCCGTGCCGTCGTTCGTGCACGTGCAGCAGAACGGCAAGCGTCGGCGGATAGACGATGCTAAAGCCGGTGGGCAGAACGGCGCGACGGTGTACCCTGAGAAGTGGCACTTGCCATCAGCGTTCACGCCTGCATTGTATGGCAAAGTCTTGAGGCAGCGGTCGGGAGGTGCGCCAAACACCGGAGGTGGCCTTTTCCCCCTCCCCGCCGGCCGGTGTGTCGCGGGTTTCCCGCGGGCCGTTCCCCCAGGTTAGTGTGGGCCTAGTGGGCCCCTCCGGTGTCCAAGGGGCGTGGTCCGGCCCGGTGTTTGGCGTGCGCCCTCAGGCAGGAAGCTGCGGCGGGAGGCTTTGCTGATGAGGGCTTAACCCTTGAGACTTGAGGCGAGGACCTGCCGGACGCATACAGGTCCGTGCCGGTCAATCCCGCGCAGCTGCGATATAACGTCATTGCGGCGCGGGAACCGCGCAGCGGGGAGTGGCGATGCTTGACTGCATTCGCCATGCTGTTCGGCTTGTCGTCGAGTGTTATGAATTTCATGCGGTGGTCTGCCTTTCTGGAAGCCGCTGCCAGGCGCGTGGCGGCTTTGTTGCACACAATGCATGTCGATGATGGCAGTCTTGGGGACCTCGGATTGGCGAAAGGCTCGGGACAAGCTTTACTCAACGTCTTGTTTTCGGAGTTGGGTACCCCGAATGCCAGCGCGAAGCAGCAGCGCATGGCCGCCACTGGGGCATTCTTGGGAGTCGATCACGACGTGTCTCGGGTTTTTGAAGGCAGAGGGGTGGTCTCCTTTTGGCCGAATGCCAGCATGATTGACAAAATCAAAGGCCTGCTCGCGGAGCACCGTGCGCGGAACAGCCTGACACCAGCGGAGGCCTCGAAGCTCCGGGGCATTCTGCAGTGGTCCTCCTCCGCGATGTTCAACGGCGTCGGCAGCGCTGCGATGGCGCCGCTGAAGCAGAGGCAGTACACTGACGCGCCTCCGTGGGCGTTATCCCACGCGATTCGGCGGTGCTTCGATTACTTCGAATTTGTAATAGACCTTGCCCCGAAGAGAAGCGTCGACGCGAGCCCGCCCTCGTGCCCGCTGATTGTGATCGCAAGCGACGCGCGGGCTGACGGGGCGACCGCGCCCACAGGCGGCTACCTCCTGGTCGATTGCTTGACAGGGGAGCGTGTGGGAGGATGGTGTGTATTCAACGATGCCATACTCGCGGAGTGGGGTTTCTCGCCGGCGGACCGGGGGAGGGGCGCGAATCCGATCGCCCTCTGTGAGGGGGCCATGGTCCCCATTGTCCTGGCGCAAGAGGCGCGGAGGTGCCGAGGGAGGCGCATCCTGTGGGCGCTTGACAACACGAGCGCTCTCCACAGCTTCGTGAGTGGCAGGTGCGACCATGCTACCCTGGACCGGAGCGTCAAGCTTATGAATTTCTTCAAGGCGCGCGCCGCGAGGGCAAATCGCGGGGGGACGCGCCGTGCAGCGTGTCGCGCCAGTTTCACTGCGACATGTCCACCTGGCTCGAGTGGGTAGACTCGAAAAGCAACTGGTCGGACGGGATCTCACGGCGCGCCGTACGCGCGCGGGGGCGGCCTTCCCCCGAGTCGTCCACTCGCGCGGTGCCAGGCGGCTCGGCGAGGATAGCTTCGCCCGGGAGAATGGTTTTCGTACCGGCGAGGTGAGAGTGGACCCGGCCGCGTGGCGCGGGTGCTTACTAGACGCGTGGCGTTGGGTGTTACGGCGCGCGGAAGGCGCGCTCCGCGAGGGCAATTCGCGGGGGGTGGGCCGCGGCGTGCAGCGTGCCGCGCCAGGCTCAGTGGATTCGCCGTAAAGAAGGAGTCCGCGCTGGAGAGGTGAGCGCGGGCCCAGCCGCGGGGCACGGGCATGCCTCAGACACGGGGCGCCGTGTACATCGACGCGCGATTGCGGAGCGGCGTCGGACCCAGAACAGCGTTGGGGGTGCAGAAACGCGGAGCCAGAGCAGCGTTGGGGAGAGCGGCACTACTGGCGAGCCACGCCAGGGTCTTGCCTTCTTCACGCAGGTGTTCCATTCGGGGGGTTTGGTCACCCCAAGGTCGTTCTGCACCCCCGGAGCACCGTTGCACTTTCTGGGGTCGGGGGACGGGGTCTGGGTTGGGAGAATGGGTGGGAGGATGGGGCCGTCGCGCGCCGTGTTTCGCCAAGTTGAGCGCGCGCCGCGCGCGGAGGAAGCGGCCGCCCCGTTCGTCTTTCCGCGCCGCGGCGGTGCGCGTGCGATCCCCGCGGCGCGCGAAAGTTGCCAGGGGCCGCGCCGGGCGCGGCGCGGGGAATAGGCTGTCGGTGATTATGCGTTGACTTTAGGCTCGGGGAGGCTCGGGTCAGGGAACCATAATCATGACAGAAGGGGACGCCCGCGCGCGCTCGCAGGGACTGCGCGCATCGGAGCGCGCAATTGGATCGTGCGAGCAAAGCGCGTTGGCGACAGCGGTTGCTGTTGGTTTGTTTCCCACCCACCGCACCCTGGGCCCCGGTGGGGTTACCGGGGAGAATTTGGGATGGGCGCCGGCGTGGACTTCGTCGTGCAAGAGGCGATGCGCACCGGCTGCGAGGGGTCCTGCCTCGGGTCGGCCGAACGTGTGCGTCGCAGGTGCGAGAACGCCGCGCAGGTCAGCGCGTGCGGGGAGGGGGCCTTCCTTCCCTGGGCCGCTGGCAGCGGTCGCATCACCAGGTGTAACGTCTGACAGGTGCGCGACATGTTTTGCGCGCGCGAACACGCCCGCCGCATCCCGACCCCCGGTGGGGTGCTCGGGTCGGCGAGGGCGGCGCCGGACGCCGGCAGTGTTCGCTTTCCCCGTGGGGAGAGCGGCATTACTGGCGAGCCACGCCAGGGTCTTGCCTACTTCACGCAGGTGTTCCATTCGGGGGGTTTGGTCACCCCAAGGTCGTTCTGCACCCCCGGAGCACCGTTGCACTTTCTGGGGTCGGGGGACGGGGTATGGGTTGGGGGAATGGGTGGGGGGATGGGGCCGTCGCGCGCCGTGTTCGCAGGTGGAGCGCGCGCGCGCGCGGAGGAGCGGGCCGCCCGCGTGCGCTTCGCGCCGCGGCGGGGCGCGTGCGATTCGCGGCGCGCGAAAGTTGCCAGGGGCCGCGCAGGGCGCGGCGCGGGGAATAGGCTGTCGGTGATTATGCGCTAGCCAGCCTCTTCTGGCTAAATTATTACTTCGACGATCGGTCTTGACAACTCGTTTTTATCATGCTACATGAATGATTGGCCGACTGGAATCGCATCATGAGGACTGCAAGGTCGCTTGCCGCCCACCGTGCCTATGCTTAAACCCTTGACAGTTATGCCCCCCTTGAGGGAAGATTCTCTCCGAGCCAGGTCAGCAAGGACGTCCTTGGCCAGACAGGGGGTGGGTCGAAAGGACCTGGCTCTTGGAGGAAATCTTACAGCATGCGCTAACTGGGAGGTTACCCAGGCCGCCACTGGCAGCAGCCGGTTTGATTATGACTTCAGCTGTACCCGCATGCCGTTGCATGAGGTCATCTACCCACGTCTCTAGGGCCAGCGGGCGAAAGCGGGCGTGAGCGTCCTCCAAGATGCCCCAAAGAGCTACCTCGTCAATGTCTACACTCTGTGAGCAGCCTGCCAGAAGGCTCCTGGCAGGGAGCAGCTCCTGGGACATGGCCCCTCAGGCTCGCAGGTGCCTCGGGGCCCGGCGCATGTCCAGCGCTAGGAAAAGAGGCATGAGCGGGCAGTCTTCGCTGGCCGCAATGTCCACTACATTCTGGAGGCTGACATGGTCATAGAACTTCTCTAGATTCCACAAGATCTGGATCCAGCCGAAATGCATAGCGGAGGCGATCTCGCACTGGGCCTGGCGGAGAGTGGTTGCCCGAAGGGCTGAGGAGCTGAGGAGTCCCGCGCCGTCCGATCCTAGAACTGAGCCCGCTCCACCGTCCAGTCAGATATGTCCTGCAGCCGCGCTCTGCCCCAGACTCGATAGAGTCCTTGGGTCAGGGCGATATGCCGATCCGCTGCAGCACTCTTAGACATGAGCTGTATTATGATTAATCCGACTTGCGGGGCCAGGCAGACTCAGCCTCGATCGATCTGCCCCAGAAGATCCAGCAGTTCCTGGAGGGCCTCGGGCGGAAGGTGCAACCAGTCACGAGGGTTCTGGAAGTCCGCTCATTGGCCAACTACTGGTCTGAAACATTTCAAGGCGTCCTGGAGTTGGTGTCCCGTGAGAGGGTCCCGGGACTGGGCGGCGCGAGACGCCCTAGTCCTAACAGCGCCCCACCAGGCCGCTGGGCCTTCACTCGGTCCCGGGGGCCAGAGTTTGCCCCAGAGCTCCGCTCTCGACGCCACAGCCTCAGTGGGATCGTGCAAAACCTTACCTTGGGCATCGCGCTCAAGGCTGAGAACTGGGGCCTCCAGCCCCCAAGACTTGGTGCGAAAGTGTAGGGCCCCGCTGCCCTTGAGAAGGGAATGCCTGGGCCACTCCTTGAAGCCTTCGGAGGACTGCCTCGTGTGATAAGCCTCGACCTGGCGCAAAATACGAAACAGCTTCCTAAGTTTGGCCTCCAGGGTCTCCCTGGGTCTCCCTGGTAGCCTGCCCAGGGGAAACCAACAGATCCTCCTCCGTTACTTTCAGCCAGAAGCCTCGGGAGCTTATGTACTCGTAGCGGGGCGTCTTTAAACGCAGTGACTGAATTGCCTAAACATTTCGATTTCCTGACAAGTCCGACCCAGGCGCTGAGGCGGGTGTGGAGGGCAGACCAGACGGAAAGGTTGGAGGGGTCCGCCAGCAAGCCTTGCGGCTTGGTCTCCACTAGAGGAGCAAGCCCTAGCTACTGCACTAGCCGAACTTGCTGCTGCACTTGCTCCACTGCCTGAATTTACGAGACTTGCTCCAATAACGACGCATGTCCAAAGTATCAAGGCCGTTGGCAATGTCCTTGTTCGTGTTAAAGGGCTCAGCCGCCAACCAACAACTCATATAGGCTTGCCCTATGTCACAGGTCAACGCACTGGCTTGCTGTCACAGATGAGCTTCCATGACTCTCTGAACGAGCGCGGCCAATCTTTGGACATGGGTGACCCAGGGAAGGTCGGGACCCTGGGCCTACACAAGAGAAGAAGGCTGCGTGAGGACCCAGTGAAGCTGCTCGAACTTACTACGGTCGAGGGTCCCCAAAAGGCCCGTGTGAGGGAGAGCCCATGGGGACCTCGGGTCCCACTGACGCGCCAGCGCGTAGCTGAGTGCCTCCGAACACAAACAGCAACCGATGGTCCCGGCTCCACCAGGGGCCTCTTCAGGAGCCGCTCTAAAGACTCCATGCAAGCAGGTGTGGATGCCGCTCTCAGCTACCTCATCGATCTCCATGTCCCGGTCACCTGCGATGATGCTGGGCTTGCCCTGGGAGCGGATGGAACCAGCAACTTCACCCAGGATGATGGCTTGTTCTCCCTGAAGGCCAAGCCCTGTGACTAGATGTAGCGTGACGAAGACCACGTCTATGTCCCTCATGCGGACTGTCTGGCTGGTCCACTGGGTCTCCATACTGGTTGGCCTCTCATCCTGAACGGCACGCTCCACCTCGGGGTAGAGCGGGGAGTGCTGAAGCCAGTTCCTGGTCATGAGCCATGCCCCACCATGAAAACCTCCGCGGGCTGTCCCTGCGGCACCCTGGGAGGTAGCTGACCAACCACAACGATTCAGCCTCTTGATCGCCTGGACGTGATGGGGCCCCTGCAGGTGGTGCTCGGCTATCATGACAGTATCCGAAGATGAAAAGCCTCCGCCATCCTGGTTCAGGTGATCCCAAGTCTGCTGACCCCACGAGGTGGTGTTGGTGAAAAGAAACGATATTGATCCCTCGAGCTCCTCGCCCCCGTCGGCTGCCGCCCAGCTGGACTCGATAGGGAAGATGGTCTGGTAATCGATGGAGGTGTTGGCGTCTTCTGCTGTCCCTCCACCTGACTTCCAGGAGAGGCCCGTGCCCGCCGTGGCGGAGGGCTCGCCCTCGTGGGATCGGCAGGCTTCCCCGGGCCAGTGAGTGCGCCGCTCGACCTGGAAATGGAGGAAGATGTGGGCGACTTCTGCTGTCCCTCCACCTGGCTCCCCCGAGGGGCCCATGCCCGCTGCAGCGGAGGGCTCTCCCTCGCGGAACCATCAGGTTTCGCTGGGCCAGTGAGTGCGCCACTCGACGAGGAAATCGGCGACGACCTGGAAATCAACGGTGATGTCGGCGGCTTCTGCTGTCCCTCCACCTGGCTGCCAGGAGAGGCCCGTGCCCGCAGCCGCGGAGGGCGCGCTCTCACAGGCCCCTCAGGCTTCCCAGGGTCTGTGAGTGCGCCGCTCGACAGGGTAATTGGCCATGGGCTGCTACCAAGAGACGACGACTGACTGGTACTCTTGCTTGCCATGGACGCTGGATGCTGCTTATCGCAATAAGTAGTAGTGATCCTGCCACCAGCACCAGTAGACTGAGAAAGTGTGTGTGTGTGTGTGACTGTGAATGTGTGTCGCTTGAGAGAAAACCATGATCTTACTGGGCCGTTCCCCCAAGGTGGGGAATGCCTCGAGCCCCCCTTCAAGCCCGGCCCGAGAAGGGCTCGCCCGCGCGCGAGAGTCGCACACCAGACACGGAGGTCCAGGCAAGAGAGCAGTCCCAGACATGCGACGTCCTGATTTTTTCAACACGGCGTACCCTCCTCCCTCCTCCGCGACGTCTCGATGTTTTTCAACACGGCGTACCCTCCGGGTGCTGCGCGACTTGCGCCGCCAGTCCAGGAGCGTGAGCGCACAGCATTCGCGCGGTCCTGCCAGCGACCGCCGTCCAAAGCTGGGGACTTGCAGGCATCGACCCCTGGCATGCCCGAGGGTGATGGAATCCAAGGCAGACCCCATCCCGAGACATGCCCCGCCAAGGAGGGGGGTTGGTGCCACCAGACGCTGGAGACCCCCAGTTTCCAACACCAGTGCATCAAGCAGCCCACCGCCATGAGGGACACGCTGTCGCGCCGAGCCTCCCCCCAAACCTACGCTCCTCAAGGGTACTGATGCCCAGGAGCGCTTCAGAAGCTCTCAACGCGGCGCGGCAACCAGAGACGTGGCGGGGCCAGCAGGAGCGGAGGCAAGGGGAGCAAGCCACAGCCGCAACTTCACCCTGTCTGCAAGCGCCAGGGACCACGAGCTGACCCGGCTCTCACTGCAACGGGTCGACAGCCATGCGGGCCCGACAGATATCCCAAGGGACTGTCCTGCAAATGTTCTTCCAACCCTGTCCAAACTCACAGCAGTGTTCGTCAGAACTTGCAGAAGGACCGAGTTTTCTTCGTGCTTGTTGGAATTTCTTGTACACCTTGGAGAGGGTACCCTTGGATGTTCTGCTTGTTTTGGCAGACGAAGGGTCTCATGTTCTTGAAGGATGCTCTTCTGGCCTAGGTCCGACTCGACCTTCTCCTCCTCCTCCTCCTCCTCCTCCTCCTCTCCTCCTCCTCCTCCTCCTCCTCTACTCCTCTTCCTCTCCGTCTTCCTCCTCTCCTATCCATCCTCCCTCCTCCTCCTCCTCCTCCTCTCCTCCTCAGCCTCGAACTTTTCCCCTCCTCCTCCTCCTCCTCCTCCTCCTCCTCCTCCTCCTCCTCCTCCTCAGTGGCAGGCAACAGTGGGGAGGCCACAGTGGGGAGGCCAGGCAAGACGAGGGGCAGCGGGGCCCCAGCGGGGGCGGGGGGCGGGGATCACATGGGCCCCAGGGGCCACGGGGCGGCGGAGGGGGGCCCGAGCCCAAAGGGGGTCGACGGGAGGCCCCACGGAATGCGGAGGCGCTCCGCGCGCCAGGGAGGGGGTTGTCCAGCGCCGCTCCGAGAAATCCGCGGGGACCTCCGAGTCTTTATGTATATGCCATTATTCGTTCCCGATGCGCCTACGACAACGAAGGCACAACGAGAAGGCGGCGATGGACGGCGACGGACGGCGACAGACAGGCAGTGTCGAGGCCATTTGGCACCTCCTCTCCCTGGCACATCGACCCCCCCTCAAAGTATGGATCTCCGTGAGCACAGGAACGGCCTGGGCCTCCTTCTTGGCCTCCTCGAGCTCATCAGGAGAAGGGGGCCGATTACGATAGAGAGTGGCAAGGCAACAACGTTTGGCCGCACATAGATGCTCAGCCAATCTAGCAGGGCCCTGGAAGTCACGGACGCAGGCTTGAGAAACTCCCCCTACCACGAAGTCGGAAGGGCTCCCCCTCACCCTTCTGGAGGATTCCTTGACTGATGGGGACGGCGGTGATGCTCATGGCCGAGCCAGCCCCAATTGGCGTGCCACCGGCTTGCGGACTCTGGATTCCTTATCCAAGAGTTTTTTATCCAACGCCCTCACCGTACGACAATGACTAGATCCCTAGCCAGTGTGGCGCAGGCGGGGGGGAGCGCCAGGCGAGACTGGCGCGGGCCGACAAGCGGAAAGAGGAGGAGGAGGCTCGGAGGAGGAGGAGAACGAGAAGGACCAGTAAATCCAAGGCTCTTCAACGATGTTGAAGTACACCCTCCCTCTAAGATCCCTCGTCATGGGCCCCTGAGTCATTTCCACTGGGGGAGTTGCCCCGTTGTGGGACAACCGTGTGAACATTTTGAAGCGTGCCAAAGCACCATTCTCAGGACTTCCACGCCACGAGTTAAACTGTTACGGCTTGGCGGTCCTGAGTCGTGCCAGAACACCATTCCTGGAATTTGAACACCGCGAGTCAAGCGTAATTGTTGCGCCCTGGCAATCCTGAATCGCTTCGAATCACCTTTTCCTGATACGTTGCAAATGTTGAAGTGGAATGTGCGCGGCGCAAGCGCGAGAACGACATTTTGAGAAGGAACCGCCCTATATCCGTGAAGCTCTTACGATGCTTTAGAATGAATGTGTGCGGCGCTAAGGCGAGAGCCACATTTTGAAAACGGCCCGCCCTCAATCCGCGACATTTTGCAATTGTTTAAGACCGAATGCGCGCGGCGCTAAGGCGAGAGCCACATCTTGGAAACGAACCGGCCTCAATCCGTAAGGCTATTTCAAGTGTCGGGTGCGCGCGGCGCTCAGGCGAGAGCCACATTTTGAAAACTACCCAGCTTCAATCTGTGAAACCCTGGCTATTTTTGGTGAACGAGTGTGCGCGGCGCTAGACATGTTGAAAACAACCACCCTGAATCCGTGAAACTTTTCCGAACGTTTAAAACAAGTGTGCTCGGCGCTAGGGCGAGAAGTGACCCGCCCTGTATCTGTGAAACTGTTGCCAACTTGTAAGCATCAGGTTCATAAATGGTGCGGAAAGCTCAGGTGAAACGCCCAGCCCGCCCTTTCGACCGGACTCGGGGGGCGACAGGGAGGAGTTATCTGTAAGGAAAGGAATAGAGGAGGAGAAGGAGGAGGGAGAAGAGGAGGAGAAGGAGGAGGAGGAGGATCTGTGTAATTAGTTGCTCGGTGCCCCCTGGCCCGTGAGGGGTGGCACGCCGACCAAGGGAACCGGGCTTTTCCTTCTCCAGCAGTGTCGCGCTTGTTGTTCCTCGTGGCCAGTGCCTGTGCCCTGGTCAAGACATGTCTTGCCACCGCTTCTGTGCTCCGTCAGGCCTTCCAAAGGGGGCTGGAGTAGATGGGGTCGGAGAATCGCGCCGCATGGCCGATGTGTCGGCGATGCGGCTCGGTGGGGAGCCCGTTTTCCTCCACGCCAACGCCGCCAATGTATCGGCGGTGCCGTGCGATCCTCCGACCTCATCTACTCGGACCCGAGTTGGGAGGCCTCCAAATCCTTCCCAGACGTCCTCTCGTCGTGAGCGAATCGCGTCGGAGGGGCTCAGAATTCCCTGGAAGTTTTCCAGCCGCCGGATGCTCTCCAGCAGCTGCGCCTCGCCGAGCGCCTGCTGGGGGGGCCCGAATCGTCCCGAACGGCCGCCAGACATCAGAGTGACGACACGAAAGCCACAATTCTTTTCGCAGCGACAGCCATCGCGACGGACCGTTGATGCCGTCTGCGGCCTCCGGGGGCCGCTGCTGGCCTCCGCGTCCGTGAACAAAACGCGGCTCGGGATGGAGCGCATGCATCCGGAAAAGAGCTTCCCCGGACCCGTACGGAGCAATAAAGAAGGCATCGGAGGTCAGCCTCCTCCTCCTCCTCCTCCTCCTCCTTCTCCTCTTCCTCTTCTTCCTCCTTCTCCTCCTCCTCCTCCTCCTCCTCCTCCTCCTCCCTCCTCCTCCTCCCCGTCTTTTCTCATGCCCTCTCCTGCCCCTTCCACAGCCGCAGCCCTGCAGGCGAGACGCCACGTAAGGACTCGTGAGGGGCCCTGCAGGTCGGCCGCTCCTCGCCTCTCCAGGTCGGGGAAGCCTCCTCGTGGACGAGGCACGCGCCGCGGCATGGTCGGCTCCGCCGAGCCTCGCTCCGCGCCCCCAGCGGCAGCACGACGAGTCCCGCCCGTGTGCCTCGCTCCCCCTCCTCGCCCCTCTCCCAGACCCCCTCGAGTCATGAAACAACCGCGACGGGCAGTTTTTCACTATGTTCGGGGGCGACGATCCCTGGCCCCCCTCGCGCTGTGACAGAAATCACGGCGGGAGGTGTTTCGCTATTTTCGGCCTCCGGGGGCCCTCACTGGGCCCCGGGAGCGTAGAAAAAGGACTCGGGATGACGAGCCGGTCCCGGGGAATGGGTCTGGGCCTCTCTGGGGGTCGCGTCGTGGCCAGATCGTGGCGTCGGGGGTCTGGGCTCCTCACCGCGCTGATCTTCGTGGTGCGGCCTGGGCGCAGGCATGGTGCAGGACTCACTGCCCCCGGCGTGCGGCCTTTTGGCGGCGCGCGCGGGGGGGGGGGTGGGGGGCGAGGAGAAGACGTCTCAGGAGCAGGCTGCTTCTTAGGTAGAATGCGCGGGCCTTGTCTGCAGATGTAGGGCCGGCGTGTTCGAGGAAGCAGCGTCCTTCTAAGAAGCCCTCCCCCCTCGCCCTACCACCCTGTGTGCGCCGCCAGCGCATGGTGTCCGTGTGCCTGTGTGCATTGGCTGCCCGCTGCGCCGAACTGTCTGCTGGAGGGCGCGCTCCCAAGTATAGTCATATGCTCGTGCGTGCTCTACGGTCCGAGGCGGGCACTCCATCCTCCTCAGTGGGCGGATGCATTGGGTGGCGATGGGTTCTCTCCTCCTCTTCCTCCTCCTCCTCCTCCTCATCATCGTCATCATCAGCATCAGCATCAGCATCAGCATCAGCATCAGAATCCTCCTCCTCCGCCTCATTCTCCTCCTCCTCCTCCTACTCCTAGTCCTACTCCTTCCTCCTCCTCCTCCTAAACCCTCTCCCTCTGATATGTTGCAACCTTACTGACTGTTCTACACCCTTGACTTCTCCACTCGGACTTCGGCTCCTTTGAACATAGCCAACCCTTGAACCTTGAATCCACCACTGGTCCCTCCTCCCCTCATTCTCTTCTTGCATTTCCTCCCCTCCCTTCCCACCATGTCCTCCTCCTCCTCCATCATTTTCCTATCCGCATTCCCCAGACTATCGCTTCCCTCCACCCCTCTCACGTCCCTCCTTCCCTCCGCCCCTTTCCTATTCGCCCACCCCCTCGTTCATTAGTCCATCCTTACTTCCCCTTCGGAGGAGGATAGGGAGAAGGAGTGGGGGAGGGTAATGGTGGGTAGAGAAGTATGAGACGGAGAGGGATGATGAGATACATATGGATCCCGCGTGACATTGCTGTCGTCGTCGTTAATGTTGGTGGTGTTGTTGTTGCTGTTGGTATTGGTTTTTGTTGTTGTCGTTATTGTTGTTGCTGTTGCTGTTGCTGTTGCTGTTGCTGCTGTTGTTGTTGTTGTTGTTGTTGTTGTTGTTGTTGTTGTTGTTGTTGTTGAACTCTCTTCTCGGAAGAATATTTATTGGTGACCCCCCCCACCGGTGCATACTGTTTCTTCTAAATGAAAAGGTACCCCTCGACGTTCGCACCCTGTTTATTGACAGGGAAAGTCTTGATGCTCAAACTGGGCCCCTGGCCCCCTGGGTTACAACAACAACGGCTCCCGCCTGAGACTTCCTCACAATTTAGCCAGGACCCCCGCTCCCGCCCGAGACTTCCTCGCATTTTATTCAGGAATCGTGCTCTCGTTTGGGATTTCCTTGCAACTTATTCAGGAGTCGCTCTCCCAGCGCTCTGGAGTCGCGCTCTCGCTGGAGATTCGCTTGCAATTTACTCAAGACTAGCGCCCTTGCGTTGGAATGTCCTGCAATTTGCTCAAGCGCCGCGCTCCCGACACCCAGGCACCCTGGAGTCGCGCCCGTTGTGGCCCCATGTGCATGCCCTTCGTGGCCCCGCTGTCGTCGTTTGTGGCCG